GAATGGGGCGGCATAAAAATGTTTTAATAAATAAATAAATAAATAAATAATTCTCATTGAAGCCTAAAAGTGAAGGTGGCTGGGAATTTTAAATAGAAAGGAAGTTGCTGCTTATGTTCCATTCTGTATGCTTTCCCAAACATTCAACTCTTTTTTGGCTATTTCTTTGGGTAATCTGCATAACTTTGTCATGATCTGGACCCCAATAAGGCTTTCCCATTTTCTTGGCTTCATGGAGGAAATGTTATTTACTTGAAGCACATAGAAACTTAACAATGACAGATATCAGTCTCACTCCACACATAGGACTTATGAATACAATAGGCATACTTTATATTCAGATTAAAATCTTGCTATGATATCAAAATTTCTTAGAACTGGATCCATATATTCCATTAAGAGAACTGCTCTGAGTTGCTCACACAGATCAAGCACTTTCAAATTAGTTTTTTATGAGGAGGCTTCCAAAAGTAAAACACAAACCAAAATTGTATTATGAGAAGTGGACATTGCAAACTCATGTGTTCTAATGCTTTCTTCCACATTTGCAACTCCCATTTCCTTCATCTTAAGGCAGCTAGCAATAGAAAATACTGATTCCTGCAGTGTTCTGAATGAAGTACTTAGAGCTGTTCTATCTTCCCAGACTGCTGAGATATCTCCAACAATGTATTTTTCAGCACAGTGTCAATTTCATCCTTACCACCTTCCACAGCCCCTGTCTTAGACATCTTGGCAGATGACACCTTGGGTGGGGTTGGTATGCCTGGGGAAAATGATGTTCTTAAAAGGAATGAAGGAAGGCATACAGAGACAGAAGAAAGGGCTTAAACTGGATTCCAAACACCTGTTTACAGTCTTTAGTCCAACAAAGTACCTTTTTGTCTGAAATCTGATCAAGAAAAGTACTAAATGAAGCACTACCACCACAGATCTAGGAGTCTTTATATAGACTATTCTTTGGTAGTTGCAAAGCCTGTATATTTTCACAGGTTGGACCCTCAAAGAAGATCAGCCAAATTTATGGAGGTTAAGTCCATCAATGGCTGTTACTTTTATTTTTTATTTTATTCAATTTATATGCCACTCCACTAGCCATAGACTCTCTGGGTGGCTTACAACATATTAAAATTCAACAATATAAAGCAATGCAAGCACAATATAACATTTACTACAAAAAAACATCAATAGCAATAAAATCAGTAAATAATAGGATTAAAACTGAAATAAAAGCCGAAAATGTTAGTCATGATGGCTACCAATTGACTGCCAATATTAGAGGTAGTAATGACTCAGTTGCTCAAGAATGTCACGCTCATATTGTGCTTGTGAATTTCCCAGTAGGTGTTGGCCACTGTTGAAATGGAATGCTTGACTAGATAGGCCTTTGGTCTAATCTAGTATGACTCTTCTATGCAGGTCACCTTTTAAAGAGGGTGGTAAAAGAGCAGACAATCTCTCTCTAACCTGTATTTAATAGCATAACGTGAATCAAGGAGCAGCAAAATGGTGGCATTCTTGTAATGCCACAATAAAGAACAGAGGATACATTGACAGAAATCTCAGGCAATTCATGTTCTTCTAAAATGTACCTCCAAAACAATATGACTTAGTATACACTTCAGACTGCAGTCTTACAGGTGGCTGATTTACCTTGTCATGGGTCTGATGGGAGTATTAATGTTTTCCTGATGAAGATGGTATACTCTGCACAGTATATGAATATGATATTTTTGCATTTTTTTCAGATTACTCTCTGTTGCTGCCAGTGAACATGACTGAAGCAGGATCCTATTCATGATCCTTTTGATGGCATTGGGCTTTTGATACTGCCAAGTGGGCATGCCATGCTGTCCAGTTTCTACACGTTCCATGCATGCTGAGGGACATTCATCAACAATATCAGGAGTGCTCATGTATGCAGTTTGCAAACCAGGTCCTGACAGACATTGCTGGAAACTTGAGACCTGTACAGGAATGTGGTACTACCAACTGCTTAACAATGGTTCGGCGAGGGGTAGTGGCATGGCTCCCTCGGGTAGTACTTCTGCTGGTGGTCCTCTGCTGTATGGTATCTGTGCTTTACATGTTGGCCTGCACTCCGAGAGGTGAAAATCAGCGGTTTCCCTTCTCCAGAGTCAACAGCCCAACAGGAAAAGATGAATATCAGGCAATCTTACAGGAAAGGGAAGAGCATCACTGGGACTACGTCAACAGTCTGAAGAGGCAGATTGCTGAGCTGAAGGATGAGCTCCAGGAGAGAAGTGAGCAACTGAAGAGCATGCAAGGCAACAATGGTGACTCTTTGGGAGTGGGAATAGATTGGGGGAACCTGGAGAAGCCCCAGAAAGCCCTCTTGCAATTCCTGCATGCTCAGATTGAGAAAGCAGAAGTACATACTGGTATGAAGCTATCCACTGAGTATGCTGCAGTGCCATTTGAAAGCTTCACCCTGCAGAAAGTATACCAGCTAGAGATGGGGCTTACACGTCACCCTGAGGAGAAGCCAGTGCGAAGGGACAAGCGGGATGAGTTGGCGGAGGCTATTGAGTTGGGCTTGGAGACTTTAAAAACATGGCCAAGCAATAGCAATACAAAACATCGGGCCTATTCCTCCTCTGACTTCACAGAAGGTATGTATTCTTGAGAAAAAAACCTAGATTTGCTATTGACAGTGCGAGATTCAAAACTCTGTGAGACAAGATCTGGGCAGGCACAAGCAGCTTTATTGAAGCGTTTGCAAAGGCTGACTCAGAGTCTCAGTTGCCTGAGGAACAAAGAGCAATTTACACAAAGCATGAGATTATATACATTTCTTTCCCCGATGCTCAGCACTACCCCCACTTCGCCATTGGCTGGTTACTAAGAAGTCATAATCTTCTCCATCCTACATCATACTACTCCTCAATATGTTCCCCCTTCCCACTCATACAGCCCATGTTCATGCTAATGAGCCTATTACCTATGAGAAGTGTGTAATTTACTATTCATAAGCCTATTAAGCGTGAACACTATTTCCTAATAGTTCAATAGGCCAGTTTGGCCTTGTAGCCATCTCACTTGATGACCATTTATTTCCCAAAACTTGTGAGAGGATGAGATGGGAAGAACAACTCTTCTTCCAAGCTCATTCCAGTTTCTGTTTCTTCCTTCAGTAGGATACGTGCCTGTATACTTAGTAGCAAATGGCGGCTTACTATGAAAAAGCTGTGCCTTTGCTAGTTTTTTTTTTCTCTTTTTAAAAAGATACTATTCTTGCTTTGTTTCTCACAACTGTGCCCGCTACAAGGAGTGGCAATCATTCTCTCTGATCAGTAGGTCAATGTAATGCACAGTATATTACAGAAGTGAGTACAACCCTCACATTCTGTAAATATTTTATTATATCTTTTCATGTGACAACACTGAAAAATGACACCTTGCTACAATTAAAGTAGTGAGTATACAGCTTGTATAACAGTGTAAATTTGCTGTCCCCTTAAAATAACTCAATACACAGTGATTAATGTCTAAGCCACTGGCAACAAAAGTGAGTACACCCCTAAGTGTTGCCGATGTATCTGCTGGTGAAAGGAAAGTCCAATGCTGCAAAGATCTATACTCCATAGAAACCTGGAATGTAAGATCCGTGAATCAAGGCAAGCTGGATGTGGTCAAACAAGAAATGACAGGACTGAACTTTGACATCTTAGGAATCAGTGAACTAAAATGGACAGGAATGGGGGAATTTAATTCAGATGACCATCAGTGCGGACTAGTGCGGACAAGAATCCCTCAGAAGAAATGGAGTAGCCTTCATAGTCAATAACAGAGTAGGAAAAGCAGTACTGGGATACAATCTCCAAAATGACAGAATGATCTCAGTTCGAATCCAAGGAAAACCATTCAACATCCCAATAGTCCAAGTCCATGCCCCAACCACTGGTGCTGAAGAGGCTGAAGTTTACTGGTTCTATGAAGGCCCACAACACCTTCTCGAATTAACACCAAAAAATGATGTCCTTATCATTCTGGGGGATTAGAATGCTAAAGTAGGAAGCCATAAGATAACTCGAATAACAGGCAAGTTTGGCCTTGGAGTACAAAATGAAGCAGGGCACAGGCTGGTAGAATTTTGTCAAGAGGATACGATGGTCATAAGCACTCTTTTCCAACAACCAAGAGACAACTCTACACATGGACATCACCAGATGGTCAACACAGAAATCAGATTGACTATGTTCTCTGCAGACAAAGATGGAGAAGCTCTATACGGTCAGTAAACACTAGACCAGGAGCTGACTGTGGCTCAGATCTTGAGCTTCTGGTTGCAAAATTTAGGCTTAAATTGAAGAAAGTAGGGAAAAGCCCTAGGCCACTCAGGTATGACCTAAATCATATCCCTGATGAATATACAGTAAAGGTAAAGGTTTCCCCTTGACATTAAGTCCAGTCATGCCTGACTCTGGGGGGCGGTGTTCATCTCCGTTTCCTAGCCGAGGGAGCCAGCGTTAGTCCTCAGACAGTCTCCGTGGTCATGTGGCCAGCATGACTAAACACTGAATTGCACGGAACGCTGTTACCTACCCACCGAAGTGGTACCTTTTTATCTACTTGCATTTGCATGCTTTCAAACTGCAAGGTTGGCAGGAGCTGGGACAGAGCAACGAGAACTCACCCGTTGTGCAGATTCAAACCGGTGACCTTTTGATCCACCAGGCTGGCAGCACAGCGGTTTAAACCACTGCACTACCTGCAGTCCCCAAATATACAGTAGAGGTGACAAATCTATTTAAGGATTTAGATATGATAGAGTGCCTGAAGAACTATGGACGGAGGTTCGCAACATTGTACAATAGGTAGCAACTAAAATCATCCCAAAGAAAAAGAAATGCAAGAAAGCAAAATGGCTGTCTGAGGAAGCTTTACAAATAGCTGACGTAAGAAGGGAAGTGAAAGGCAAGGGAGAAAAAGAAAGATACACCCAGTTGAATGCAGAATTTCAGAGAATAGCTAGAAGAGATAAGAATGCTTTCTTAAATGAACAGTGCAAAGAAATAGAAGAAAACAATAGGGAGGACCAGAGATCTCTTCAAGAAAATTGGAGATATGAAGGGAATGTTTCATGCAAAGATGGGCATGATAAAGGACCAAAATGGCAGGTACCTAGCAGAGGCAGAAGAGATTAAGAAGAGGTGGCAAGATTAAACAGAAGAACTATGCAAGAAAGAGCTTAACGTCCCTGATAAGCACAATGGGGTGGTCACTGACCTCAAGCCAGACATCCTGGAATGTGAAGTCAAATGGGCCTTAGGAAGACTGAACAACAACAAAGCTAGTGGAGCAGGCAGTATTCCAGCTGGGCTATGCAAAATCCCAATAGACAATGCAGTCAAAGTGCCGCACTCAATATGCAGCAAATTTGGAAAACCCAACAGTGGCCACAGGATTGGAAAAGGTCAGTTTACATTCCGATCCCGAAGAAGGGCAATGCCACAGAATGTTCTAACTACCGCACCATTGCACTCATTTCACATGCTGGTAAAGTTATGCTCAAAATCCTACAAGCTAGGCTCCAGCAGTATGTGGACCGAGAACTACCAGAAGTACAGGCAGGATTTTGAAGAGGCAGAGGAACTAGAGATCAAATTGCCAACATATGCTGGATCATGGAGAAAGCTAAGGAGTTCCAGAAAAACATCTACTTCTGCTTCATTGACTATGCTAAAGCCTTTGATTGTGTGGGTCACAACAAATTGTGGCAAGTCCTTAAAAAGATGTGAGTACCAGACCATCTTATTTGTCTCTTGAGAAACCTATATGCGGGTCAAAAAGCAACAGTGAGAACTGGACACGGAACCACTGATTGGTTCAAAATTGGGAAAGGAATTTGACAAGGTTGTATACTGTCGCCCTGCCTATTTAACTTATATGCAGAGCACATCATGAGAAAGGCAGGGCTAGATGAATCACCAGTTGGAATTAAGATTGCTGGAAGAAATAACAACCTCAGATATGCAGATGATACCACTCTAATGGCAGAAAGTGAAGAGGAACTAAAGAGCCTCTTGATGCGGGTGAAGGAGGAGAGTGCAAAAGTTGGCTTGAAACTCAACATCAAGACAACTAAGAACATGGCATCTGGTCCTGGCAAATGGATGGGGAAGAAATGGGGGTAGTGACAGATTTTATTTTCCTGGGCTGCAAGATCACCACAGACAGGGACTGCAGCCAAGAAATTAAAAGACGCTTGCTCCTGCAGAGGAAAGCTATGGCAAATCCAGACAGCATACTGAAAAGCAGAGACATCACCCTGCCAAGAAAAGTGCGTATAGTTAAGGCTATGGTTTTCGCAGTTGCAATGTCTGGCTGTGAAAGCTGGACCATAAGGAAGGCTGAGCGCCAGAGGATTGAGACCTTTGAATTGTGGTGCTGGAGGAGACTCCTGCAAGTCCCTTGGACTGCAAGGTGATCAAACCGGTCAGTGCTAGAGGAGATCAACCCTGACTGCTCTTTAGAAGGCCAGATCTTGAAGATGAAACTCAAATACTTTGGCCACCTAAAGAGAAGGAAGGACTCCCTGGAGAAGAGCCTAATGCTGGGAACAATAGATGGCCAAAGAAGAAGGGGATGGCAGAGGATGAGGTAGCTAGATGGAGTCACTGAAGCAGTCGGCATGAGCTTAGGTGGACTCGGGGGATGGTGGAGGACAGGAAGGCCTGGAGGAATGTTGTCCATGGGGTCGCAATGGGTCGGACACGACCTCGCCACTAACAACAACAGCAACCACAACCACATATCTACACACAAACACAGAGATTCTCTGCCTCCCTCCCTCCGTCTTTCTCTCTCTCTCATCTGTAGATACTTTATTATTACTGTATTATTATCATTATTACAATGCTGTATTGTGTTTATTTTTTTAGTGAATATGGAAGTGTTTCTTAAGCATTTTGTATGCATAGAAAGGTAAAATATATACATATACTAAGACATACATTTGGCTTATTCATGTGATCTGACTTACATACAAATTCGACATTTTCAGGAATGGAACTTGTTTGTAAACTGGGAACTGCCTGTATACTTAAAATTAATCCGTACCCTCTGCTGGAATTTTTGGCTAAGCCGCCTGTATATTTTGTATTTCATTTTCTTCTGACAACAGGTTTACATGTCCCACCCAACTCCCCAGCCTGTATATATAAATCAACAAGACTATGGTTAAAACTTCATGAATCTAATAACATGTTTAGGAAATCTTATGCCAAATAAATGTTTCATTCTTTAAGATGCCAAAAGACTCTTTCTTGTTCCTGGTAATTGTTGGTTTTCCTTCCTTATCAGGTCTTCAACGGACAGAAAGAGATAAAGGCACCCTGTATGACTTGATATTCAAAGGAGACAAAAAGTATGAATTCAAGCGAATTGTGCTGTTCAGACCATTTGGCCCCATTATCAAAGTAAGGACTGAAAATCTCAATCTGGGCCAGACTCTTATTAATCTCATAGTCCCTCTGGCAAAAAGGGTCAGCAAGTTTCGGCAATTTATGGAAAATTTCAGGTTGGTATCATTTACACTCTCCCGAGCAGTGAAAATTTTCCAGTGTAGTGCAAATGTATGACTTACTTTTAAGGCAAGACCACTGGAAATTTATTTTGCAATATTTGCTTTACTCTTGGAGCGTAAGTAGAGATAATGTTTCCATATATTTGTTTATTTTAATTATGTATGCTTTTATTCTAACTTTTTTAGGATTTAGCTCAGTGGGAAAACACATGTAATGTATACAAATAGCTCAACATATTCCTTGGCACCTTTTACTGGTTTGGAAAAAATGTGAAATCGTGGAAAGCTGCATATAGGGAAGCACATGCGTAAAAATGTAGATTCATGAGCACAAAATGCCAGAGCTATGGTTATTACTGCTCTATCCAGATTGTTAGGCTGTTGAGTATCTTTTGCCTGCAACTACTGTATAATATTGAAACTCAAAATTCTGAATGCAGAATTCCAGAGAATAGCTAAAACAGATACAAAAGCCTTTTTAAATGAACCGTGCAAAGAAATAGAGAAAAAAAGTAGAATGTGAAAAACTAGAGATCTCTTCAAGAAAATTGGAGATATGACGGGAACGTTTCATGCAAAGATGGGCATCATGAAGGACAAAATTGGCAGGGACCTAAAAGAAGCAGAAGAGATTAAGAAGAAGTGACAAGATTAAACAGAAGAACTATACAAGAAAAGAGCTTAATGTCCCTGATAACCACAATGGGGTGCTCACTGGCCTCAAGCCAGACATCCTGGAATGTGAAGTCAAATGTGCCTTAGGAAGACTGAACAACATCAAAGCTAGTGGAGCAGGCAGTATTCCAGCTGGGCTATGCAAAATCCCAATAGACAATGCAGTCAAAGTGCCGCACTCAATATGCAGCAAATTTGGAAAACCCAACAGTGGCCACAGGATTGGAAAAGGTCAGTTTACATTTCCATCCCAAAGAAGGGCAATGCCACAGAATGTTCTAACTACCGCACCATTGCACTCATTTCACATGCTAGTAAAGTTATGCTCAAAATCCTACAAGCTAGGCTCCAGCAGTATGTGGACCGAGAACTACCAGAAGTACAGGCAGGATTTCGAAGAGGCAGAGGAACTAGAGATCAAATTGCCAACATATGCTGGATCATGGAGAAAGCTAAGGAGTTCCAGAAAAACATCTACTTCTGCTTCATTGACTATGCTAAAGCCTTTGATTGTGTGGGTCACAACAAATTGTGGCAAGTCCTTAAAAAGATGTGAGTACCAGACCATCTTATTTGTCTCTTGAGAAACCTATATGCGGGTCAAAAAGCAACAGTGAGAACTGGACACGGAACCACTGATTGGTTCAAAATTGGGAAAGGAATTTGACAAGGTTGTATACTGTCGCCCTGCCTATTTAACTTATATGCAGAGCACATCATGAGAAAGGCAGGGCTAGATGAATCACCAGTTGGAATTAAGATTGCTGGAAGAAATATCAGCAACCTCAGATATGCAGATGATACCACTCTAATGGCAGAAAGTGAAGAGGAACTAAAGAGCCTCTTGATGCGGGTGAAGGAGGAGAGTGCAAAAGTTGGCTTGAAACTCAACATCAAGACAACTAAGAACATGGCATCTGGTCCTGGCAAATGGATGGGGAAGAAATGAGGGTAGTGACAGATTTTATTTTCCTGGACTCCAAGATCACTGCAGACAGAGACTGCAGCCAAGAAATTAAAAGACGCTTGCTCCTGCGGAGGAAAGCTATGGCAAATCTAGACAGCATACTAAAAAGCAGAGACATCACCCTGCCAACAAAAGTGCGTATAGTTAAGGCTATGGTTTTCTCAGTTGCAATGTCTGGCTGTGAAAGTTGGACCATAAGGAAGGCTGAGCGCCAAATAACTGAGGCCTTTGAATTGTGCTGGAGAAGACTCCTGTGTGTCCCTTGAACTGCAAGGAGATCAAACCAGTCAGTCTTAGAGGAGATCAACCCTGACTGCTTTTTAGAAGGCCAGATCCTGAAGATGAAACTCAAATACTTTGGTCACCTAATGAGAAGGAAGGACTCCCTGGAGAAGAGCCTAATGCTGGGTGCAATAGATGGCAAAGGAAGAAGGGGAGGGCAGAGAATGAGGTGGCTAGATGGAGTCACTGAAGCAGTTGGTGTGAGCTTAAGTGAACTGTGGGGGATGGTGGAGGACAGGAGCGCCTGGAGGAATGTTGTCCATGGGATCATGATGGGTCGGACGTGTCTTCGCAACTAACAACAACAGCAACTGTATAATAAATACAACCCTAACTATTGTGAGATTTATGGTGTCCTATTAGACATGAAGGCAGATGTCTTGAACCTTTTGCAGCCTGAGAGCCAAATGGAGAGAAGTTCTCTGAGGCTGCATACCTCTGGGAGGTGTGGCCAAAAGCTAAAAAGGGCTAGATCAAAGGCAAAAGGGGTGGGGCCAACTTTTTTTTGTTTAAAGGTCTTACTGTGCAGTAACTCAGCATAGGAGAGGAATTTCAACCTGTTAGAATAGGTAAAATTCTAAAAGAAGCTGGGAAACCAGTGCATGAGGGTAATGGAGTGGGGCCAGGGGAAGCAGAGAATCAGGTAATCCCAGAGTGCCAGATTTGGTCCCTGGGCCCTGCTTGATTAATTGATTCTATTAAGAAAATGATTGTGAAAAGTTGATTATCAGCTTGCTTGGAAAGCTAGAGTAGGAGAGGCTATTGCACAAAGTATGAATTAAGACATGATGGAGCAGGTAGGGGCTTCAGCAGTCTGCACTAGTAAGAGAGTGGAAGTCCAGATGCAGCAATTCTTAGTATGAGAATGTAGGGATTGCAATTAAGCAAATGTGTTCTTATTTTCATCTGTGAAAACATGAAGAAGGGAGCTTACTTGTTTCAATTTGTTCTAGGAAAATGGGCATACAACAGGATGGAAGAATTCACCTTACTGTAGTTTATTTTGGGAAAGAACAAATAAGTGAGGTCAAAGGAATTCTTGAAAACACATCCAAGTGAGTATAACTTATGATTTGATGCCAGTCTGGTGCAAAGGAAAAACATGTTTGTCTATGCTTATTATAAGTTAAGAAGCTCAGTTTGCTCTCAAACCCATGTTATTGTTTAGGCTTAAAACCGTGAATCAAAATACTAAATATATAAGAACTGGATATGGCTCTTCAGAGGTGAGAAGAAACTACTCTGCACATGCTCAGAGGCATTCCTAAAGTAGGATTACCTACTGTTAGGTTCAAGGGTGGGTGCTATTCAACCTTGGTAAGGAAGTGTTAAATGTCAAGAGATTATCCACTTCAAATCATGTATTAGTATTATTGCATCATCCAGAGAAACTAAGGTAAAAATCTGTGCTATGGAAATTTCACACCAAGAGAGTAAAATCAAATTATGGAATTTTTTTTCCTAGTTCTAATTGCAGTTGTGTGAATATGTGTTGAAGTTATTTTTACTAATACTACAGCTGAAAAGAGAAGATTTAAATTTCCCCTCCCTGTACCTGGCTTTTAATTTCACTGAAGGCCATAATGTAGTTGTAAATTGTATCATTAATGTAGCTACATAATCACATGTAGTTAAATCCTAAGATTTTTCTAAGATGACTTTATTTCCAAAAAAAGCCAGTCCTTGCTCTGATTTATCTTTGTTGCCTGTAGCTGGCAAATCCAGCTCCATGCATTTGGCTGTCAGGAATCTAGTCCATTCAATTCCTGGATCCTCACATAAGGCTTCCCTGACCTGCAGTGATGCTTGGATTTTTCTGTGTTTTAAGAGAACAATATTATTTCTTAGCTTCCATACTATACAACTATTAAAGACCTTGTAGCAATAGCCCTCCAAGGAGCTCTGCTTATTGGGTGTTTTATAAATGAAATAATAAATAAAATAATAATTGGTGTTATTAGTCTGACCTGTAGCTTCTATCCTAAAAGCCTTCTTTAATTTGTAGCATTATATCTGTATTATAATTTTATGTACACTGCCTTGTGATTGCCCTTATCAATGAAGGAATAGTATAGCACATTTTAAAATATATAAAGGCATAGTCATTAATATTTAGGTGATTTTAGACTCTGGACTTAATAATTTTATGCCACCCCTCCTTTCTAAACTAATGAATTGAGGGCATGATCCAGTTACCCCCCACACCAGGTGCTTGTAAGCCTCCAAAGTCAGATGCTTACAATTATCCAGTGGTAGGAATGAGGCACGTCAGTGGCCTTGTTCTGCTGCCACTGCACCTCATGCCCTGCATTTTATCAAGAAAGCAATTCACAGCCTAAGCCTTCAGCCCTAGCTTCCTTACTTCACTATCCCCTTCCCCTTTTGCCCTCTCTGGGGTAGCTGGCATGGTTCTGTATGGGGCAAGGCGGGGCTCACCCTTTTGAGTTCCAGCTCTGAGATCCTGATCCCTTGGACTCCAAAGAATCCTATGCCCCTTGATGATGTTGAGGGGCCATATGTGCCTTAGAGAAACACAGAATCAGAGCAAGTCAGAAGGGGTCTCCCAGGCGATCTAGTCTGACCTCCAACTCCAGCCAGCTCCCCTCATGACATGCTTACCATGTGCATGCCCAGCCTATCCTTGAGCACCCTCACAGATGGGGCTTCAACCACCTCCTGTGGAAGCCCATTCCATACCATAGGGCTCCTAACTGTTGGGAAGTCCTTCCTGGCTTCCAAATTGAACCTTTGTTCCCTGAGCTTTGCTCCATTGGAATGTGTCCTGCCCTCCTCCACAGGGGAAAGCAGGTCTCTACCCACCTCCTGGTGACACCTCCATACATACCTATATGCTACCAACAAACTCCCTCAGAGTCTCCTCTTCTCCGGGCTGAAAAGACCCAGTTCCCTCAGTCTTACCTCATATGGCTTTCCCTGCAATCCAATTCCCGAAGTACCCTCAGCTGTAACCTGTCAGGGCCTGGCACCTTTGTTACATCCAGTGCCCTGAGGAGCTCCTTGACTTCTGTGGGGAGGGGTGACTCTAATTTGTGCCTCTAAATCCCTGGCCTTATCCGGTCCCCCATGTCGATCTCCCCCACCCTGCTTTGGAGAGAACACAGAGAAAATAATCATTTAGCATCTGTGCCTGTTCCCTCACATCAGTCCCTCAATCCCCCTTCCTCCTTATTAAGCAGTCCCACTATCTGTCTCCTGAGAAGTTCATGTTTACATGGTAATGGGCTGGATTCAAACTTAGTCAGGTGTAGGCTAGATCTACTGGGATCTGTGAAACCTGTGGGTTATGACTAACTTATGTCAGTTGATATTAGTAAGTCTACTGAATAAACTCTGAGTTCATAAATCAATCCAACCCAGTGTATAAGCCAGACTTACTACATTTGAGGGTCATCTTTCTCCATTTGCTGAGGGGAGACTTGAGTTGCTGTCCTGTGGTTCTACTATAAAGATACAAATAGATGTCTGGTATGTGACAAACACATGTTACAGAAAATCCCTTGGTTTAGGCAGCTAAATATTAAAGGAAACTGGGAAGGCTTTACACTTGATCTTGTAAATTGTATAACCAACTTTTGTTAAATTAAGTCATATAAATATTTCCTATGGCAAAGGCCCTTGAATGACATCTTACCGAAAACTTCTGGGCCCTTTCAAAGAAAGCCATTGGCTATCAGAGCTTGTTGCCTTTGGTAAACAAAGAGTAACAATTCAAGAGTAACTTTAAAGCAAAGAACAGGGAACTTGTGGCCCTCCAGATGTTTTGGCCTATAACACCCACAAATTGCCAATCCCTGGTTTATTATTAATTAATTAATTTAAAGATATTTAGTGTGGTATAAGCTTGCATGGATTGGAGCACACTCCAGCAGATGGGTATGGGTGCATATAACAGAATGAACGTGAAAAGAAATTGTGTCTTCTTTAAGAGTCTGGTTTTGTTTATAGTAAACAATCTTACCTGGTACAGAACTGATCACTATTCTTTAATGATCACTGATCATTAAAAAGCACAAGGCAAATAAAATTTAAGTGACATTCTTCTTTCCAGATCAGCTAACTTCAGGAATTATACCTTTATCCAGCTGAATGAAGAATTCTCAAGAGGGAAAGGTCTAGATGTGGGAGCCCGATTCTGGAAAGGAAGCAATGTTGTCCTGTTTTTCTGTGATGTAGATATATATTTCACAGCAGAATTCCTCAACACATGTAGACTGAACACACAACCAGGTATTTAGACTTTAGTCTCTTTCATTGACAATCATGCAGAGTAAATCCAAGGCTCCAGCTACATGAGTGGCTATTAAGGTTAGTGTAATGTTAGCAAAGATTACCTGGGATGTTATGTACCCTCAGAAATAAAGCTGAGAACCAAAGGATATAACTTGAAACAACATAAGATAGCAATTCCCAAGCCACTTGTCTTTGGAAACCTACTGGCACCTCCTAATGACCAGGCAGCATGCTGAAAATGCTCTCATGTTAAGCATGGATGAAAAGAATCAATCTTTATATGGCAACAAGGAATTGTTCCCATGATGACATGCTTTTCCAGCATACATAAGAGGCAGAACCTGTCAAACGCAAGGGTACCACAGTGCCATCTGTAACATCAAGACTGGCAGTGGAAACCTGGCATCTGAGGTACCTCAGAGATTTCTGTAGACAAGAGTTCGAATCCCATATTATTATATCACTCACAGCCTGCAAATAACTTCCTTTTTGATTAATCAATACACCGTGAAGGAAGGGCAGACAATCAAGAACTCCCAGACAAGCTCAGTTGGGAGGAGGTACATAACAAAAATGCCCTTAGCTTTTAGCCCACAATAATGATTAAAGCCCCTCTGGGGAACCAGTCCTTCAGAAGAAGAAATTCTCTGTGTTGCAGAAGTGTTTGGGGACTTTGACAAGCATGCAAGACTGCTTGCATGTCTGGAAAGCAGTATTCCTGTCAGTCAAATGATGGGATTCAGGTAGAAACAGAACTTCACAGAGAAGGTCTCTGACTACTTGGCCAAATCTACATACAAGAGAAGGATGCATCACTAGATATTGGTCCTCCCCAGTTGCCAGCCTCCAAACTGAGCCATATACATCTAGACAAAATTGCTTGTGTCAGGAGCCCTAATCCTGTAGAATAGCTCAGGTTTTACATGCCAGAGATCCTAGGAGCAAACACTAATTTGATCTCCTGCTAGAAAAGACTAGGAAGTGTTGCAGCACAACATACAGAGCAATCCATATGTCTGCACATACATATACCCCAATGGATCCAGTGGGGCTTTCTCCTAGCTAGCATACAATATCTGCAGCAACAGAGCCAATCAGCCCCTGCCATCCCATCTAGCCACACCCTTGCTAGCTTATTGTCCCAGCAGACTATGTAAGTATACTTTTGTTCTTTTGTTTCAGATCTACTTTGCAAGTAGGATTGTCAATTCTTGACATAGACACATCTGGTAAGGGGGGATGAGAGTCCACAGTGGGCTTAGAATGAAAACTTAGGAGTGGAGCCCAAAGTTTTTTGACAGGTGCAAAGACAGAATGTTCTGTTATTTTGGGTGTGTCCAGGGTAATACCCAACATAAACTCTATTTATTTACATAGGATGTATAGTTTTTAAAAAATTATCCAAGGGAGAAAATAGTCCTTCCTGCACAAAGAACAAAGAAAATAAAAATGCCAGGCTCTCCAGACTGAAAGAACAAAATGAGAGGTAGCTTTTTATTAGTTTTTTGTAGCAACAAAGTCTTGTGGCAAACTGAAAACTAACAAAGGTATTATGGCATGGATTTCTGTTTGCATCAGATCTATGTAGTGTTATCCTGCATTATATACTTCACACTTAGCATCTTCCAGATGTTGTGGACTACAGTACCCAGCATTTCTGACTGTTCTCTTCCCTCTTCCCACCATCAGACAACTATTTGTACTGTAACTTGTATAACTGCTTAAAGCATTTGATGAAGTAGTCTCTATTCCACAAAGGCTTTACACCGTAATTAATGTATTAGTCTTTATGATGTCACAAACTTTTATTGTTTTTATTTTCTTGCTGTAGCCAGATGCCTCTGGCAAGCCCACAAGCAAAACATAATAGCAGTAGCTCTCTTCTTTTGTTGCTTATCAAGCAAATGATTTTTGGAGACTTATTCCATGAAAATTAATCGCCATTGAGAGAGTTAGAGCCCAGTTCAGTGCCCTAAATGCAGGTAAGCCTCCTCACTTGGAGACTCACAGACATTCTTTTAAAAAAAATATTTTTATTGTTTTCTTAAAAGAAATAGGATAAAGCAAAGAAAAAAAAGAATGCCAAGGGATCTTAAACAAATATAACATATGAATTTATAACCTAGCAAATTCTCACCCCCCACCAAATTTCTCTTTCTGTCAATCAGTACTTTGTTGAAGCTTACAAAAAGATATAGTTCTCTAAACCAATAAATTTTCCAATAACTTTGAGTCAATTTTAAATTGACAATATTTTTACAAACTTCATTTTGTTCAGTATTAGCTAAACTATATAGTAAATTTTCATTTAATGATCAGTCGTCTGTTTACATAATTATTTAATTTTGCCATCACTGTATACTAAGCCAACTTATTTTTCCAGTCTCAACCTGTTGGACATTCTGCTGTTTTTCATTTAGAAGCAATTGTAATTCTTGCTGCAGTTGTCATGTATTTAATTCTGACATACTCTTTGGCCTAATGTTCAAAAGCATATTCTTAGCATTCATAGGAAAATTAATTGTACACATTTTTTTGTATTTCCACATGTATCAACTTCCAAAAGCTTTTGATTTTATCACAAGTCCACCATGTGTGGTACAAAGTCCCATGTTCTATTTTGCATTTCCAGCATATTTTATTATAATTCTTGTCAATTTTTGTGCATCTTTCAGAGTAATGTGTCACCAAAACAATATCTTAAACCAATTTTCTCTTAGTGCTTGACTGGCTGTAAATTTAATATCCTTCTTCCATGAAGTATCCCACCAGTTGTTTCTTCTCTAAGGTTCTGTTTCAAAATTATTCTGCATTTTAGCTTGCTAAGTTTCAGGATCAAATTGGAGTACTTGCTTGTAAAATCATCCTAACATGTGGTTAGGAATCCTAACTGTCAGAAAGTTCTTCCTGGCATCCAAATGGAACTTTGCTTCCCTGAGCTTTGCTCCGTTGGAGCGTGTCCTGCCCTCATCTGCAGGGGAGAACCCACCTCAGTGTGACATCCCCTCACATACCTGTATGTCGCCAACATATCCCCTCTGAGTCTCTTCTTCTCCAGGCTGAAAACACCCAGTTTCCTCAGTCTCGCCTCTTACAGCTTTCCCTGAAATCCGGCCAGCATCCTTGTGGCCCTAGGCTGCACTGACTCTAACCTGGCTATATCCTTCCTGTAATGAGGGGCCCAGAACTGAACACAATACTCCAGTTGTGGGCACGCCAGAGTCATATAGAGTGGTAGTAATACCTCTCTTGACCTAGAAGTCATGCTTCTGGCTATGCAATTAAGGGTGGGGTACCCTCTGGACCACCGCGTCACATTGCTGACTCATGTTTAGCCTGCGGTCAACCAGCACCCCAAGATCCCTTTCACAAGTGCGGCACTCCATCCACTTATCCCCTAACCTGTACTTATGACACCCATTCCTATGCCCCAAGTGCAAGACCTTGCACTTATCCACATCAAACGCCATCCTGTTATCTCCTGCCCACTTCCATAGTCTGTCTAGATCATTCTGGATGCAGGGCACCTGCTCCTCAGTTGTGGCCACTGCCCCATTTTAGTGTCATCTGAGAATTTGATCAGCAGACTGTTCACCCCTTCTTCCATGTCATTTATGAAAAGATTAAACAGGATCGGCCCCAGGACAGAGCCTTGGGGGACCCTACTTGTCACTGGCCACCATCCTGAGGATTCCCCACTAATGGTTACCCTCTGCTTTTGGTCAGTCAACCATGCCCTGATCCACCGGGAAGTGCTTTGGTGTGTCCCAAAACTGTTTCTCAACCAGGATATCATGGGGCACTTTGTCAAAGGCCTTGCTAAAATCCAGGCCTTGCTAAACCACATCCACTGCATCCCCTCTGCCTAGCCACCTTGAAACCTTGTCGTAGAATTCCACAAGGTTCATCTGGCAGGACCTGTTTTTCTGGGAACAGTGTTGCACGGCTGCCAGCCTCCCTTCCCTATCTAGCATCACTAGATCTCTCGCTATTATGAGCCTTTCCATTGTTTTTCCTACAATGCATGTAAGGCTAATAGGGCTATAATTCCCCATGTCCCTTCTACTACCCTTTTTGAAAATTGGAACCACTAATGCCACACTCTAGTCCTCTGGAACTTCACCCATTCTCCATGAGGTCTCAAAAATGGAGGCCAGAGGGCATGAGAAAACCTCCACCAACTCTCGAAGTACTCTCGGGTGTAACCCATCAGGGCCCGGCGCCTTTGTAATGTGCAGTGCCCTAAGCTCCTTGACTTCTAGAGGGTGACTCTAATCTGTGCTCCTAAGTCCCCATCCATCTAATCTCCCATGTAGATCTCCCCTGTCTCCCCTGCTTTGGGGAGGACACAGAGGCAAAATAGTCATTTAGCATCCATGCCTGTTCCCTTACATCAGTGTCTGGATCCGCTCCCTCCTTATTAAGTGGTCTACCTGTCTCCCCTTCTTCTTGCTATTTACATCTTGATGGAAGCCCTTTTTGTAGCTCTTGGTGTTGTTTGCAAGTCTCAGCTCGTAATCAGTCTTAGCCTTGTGAAGAATGCTTCTACAATGGGCCTCCTCCTCTTGGTGTACCCCTTTGTCTATTTGTCCCATTGCCCATTTCCTATGGAGGCTCATCTTCTAATCCCTCTTACCACCTCCTTTCGCTTCCATGTAGGCACTTTCCTCTGCCTCCCCACCTTACTGACTAGAGGTATCATCAAAGCTTTTGCCTCCAAAACCTCCCTTTTTAATGCCATCCACTCCTCCTCAACCCCCTTGCCTTCCTGTAACCTATCCCAGGAGACTTTCCGCAGTCTGGTCTTCAGTTGACCAAAGTCCCACCTTCTAGTATTTGACCTGCTGCACTTCCCCATTCCCCTGATCTCAAAGTAAAGGATGGAGTGATCACTCACATCCAGAGCTCCCCCAATCTGCACCCCATCTATCAACTCCTCCCTGTTGGTCAAAACCAAGTCAAGGATATTTCCCCTCCTCGTCATCTCCCAAACCCTC